TACACGAGTCTGGGCTGTCTTGAGTAGAGTGGTTCTGCTGCCTGCATGTTTAGCTGGGATTTCCCAGCACAGTTGTCCCTTTCCCCTCTTTCTGCTTGCTGATGTAACCCCAGGGATATCTGCCCTGTTCCTGTCCTGAAGAGGGAAGAATTAAATTTGTTGGTGCTGAGTGATGTCTTATGTTTGAGCCTACTTGTGTAATGGGAGAGTGATTTTGGGTCTCTGTGCTTTTATCTGTCCTGTCCCTGATTCAAAGCAGTATTCTTTGCAATTTTCTGCTGTCCTACTTCAAATGGCAAACTTTTCTCCAGCGTTTTCATTAAACAAGTGAGTAGATGGGGGAGTGTACAATGGTAACAGAGTTGGCACACTTATCTCCACTATACTGATGCAGGAAAGCTCCAGTGAGGGTGGGGAAGCAGAGCAGCCCAGCCTAGGCTTCCTTGCACTTCAGTAACTCACAGTTGCATAGCTCAGATGTAGCCTTCCCTCATGGCTCTAACTTGTACTAATCTAAGAACAGGAAGCTGTTAGCTGCTATGTGGTTTTCACCTCCTCTCGCTTCTCCCTGTAGCTCTGGATGACTGGGAGAGAGAAGCCACTCCTCAGAGAAGTTCACCCTTATGCTCAGACGGGAAGAAAACCCAAGATGTTTCCCTGTCTTGGTGTACGCACACGTTAGCTGTGCACGAGGCAGACAGCACGTCAGAAGTGCACTCTTTGGACCCTGGCTTATGTTGGTGGGAGAGGATGCAGCTGTAGTGGCATTCAGACTAGTGCCAAGGTGCAATGAAAAAGAGAAAAATAGAGCCAGTTACTGTCATCTGGTCATCTGCTTCAGTTAAAACTAAAATGTCACCGGATAGGACTTGAGGATTTTCAGAGACCTACTTTCCACTGTTTGCTTATTCCCGAGTTCATAACTTGTTCCCCTTCCAGAGCAAGAAGCTTGTCTGCTAACAAAACATACATAATAGACATGTTCTCTCACTCTGTTCTCCTGCATCACCCCCTGCCTCCCTTGGGAAACTTATTTTGCCTGAAGAACACCACTCAAGAGAAAGTTATGTGGGGGAATCAAATTAATTATTTGGGCTCGTATCTCCATGTTTTTTTGACCAATTGAACCACTTTAAGCTCCCAGAATTTCCATTACTTTCAAACTTGACAAAATAGAAGCATTAGTTTGTAATGCTGTATGACTGGTATTTTCCTCTCTATAACTCCACAGGAGGTTGGTTTCTAATTTGCACTTCTTGCCCTGGCAGCCTAGAAATGGGTCTTTTACTCTTGGTGCAAACTCTCCAAGCACAGGCAGGGGGGAAGGAAAGGAGAAAGAGACAATTGTCACTAGAATAAGTCCAGCCAAGAAGAAAAATCATTCTGTGCCAAACTCTTACCACTGCTGATCTATGGACACTGTTGGAGAAGAGCTGTGCTCCCCTCCCACACCTAGACCCTTGGCTAAGTCAGAGGGATGAAGCTCTGCCTTGTTTTCACTCAAAATACAGGAGAGAGCAGCAAGCAAACTCTTCATTGCTTCCCCTGCACAGCTTGTGTGTCACATCACTGGGGACAGATAACCAGGGTGACAACCAACCATCCTCTTGGAATCTGTAGGGTTTCCTCTGCTCCAGTTCTTCAGCCCTGATTAATTCTCTGTGCAGCAGCAGCTGGAAGCTGAATTATTCTGTACTGCCAGAAATTCACTACTCAGCTGAGAGCTTCAGCATCTACTTTTGCTGACAGAGAGGGATGGACTTTTGCAGGGGAATTACATGGATGCTGCAGTTTCAGGGAGCGTGCTGAGCATGCAGGCTTAGTAAAGTCCTTGTGGGAGGGCATCTCTCAGTGCGTACTCAAGTCCTCTAGTTATCAGGACAAGCCTTACAGCCCTATCATGCTAGACTGTCTTTGTTTCCTGCCATGGCTTTTGCAGCAAATCTAAAATAGTTTTTTCCCTCCTCCATTGCAGCAAATCTGAAATAATTCCCCCCCATCACCTCCCCCTTTTGAGGAAGGGTAGCTCTGTGAGAACTGTGTAAGCCCTGTTTTATTAAAGCTGAAATAAACATATATATAAGGCTGTCAGATTCAAAACAGGAAAGTAAAATATGTATTAAAGCAGGCTATGACCTCCTCCTCTCCTCTGCAGTACCTGAGAGTCCAACTCTTCTTACAGTCCATGCTTGTTGCACTGTCTCCTTAGTGGTGTTTTGGGTTACAGATAGGCTGTTTCTTCTCCAATTTGTTTTCTTTCCTGCATCTAGTCTCACTCTAGCTGCTTCTCATACGATGTTTTTCTCTGTTTATGTGTTAGGTCTTAATGGCATCAGTCTAGAGAGTCAGCTCTCATTCCTTGTGTCCCCAGTAGGTAAAAACTAAACTACCTTCCCCATACCTTCTGGGTAACCGCACATGACAAGGAAGCAATATGTAGTGCTTCACAAAATACCACTGCCAAATTCCCCTCTGCTTAGCCCTTAATTAGGTTTAGTGAGCCAAAGCTTTGGACCATTAGTTCCTGTGCCACTTTTCCCAATGTATTTCAGCATAAAGCAAGGTAGAACCTTGTCTCCCCAATGTGCTCTTGCTCCTGACAACAGGCAGTGAAGATGCCAGCACTAGGGCTGCTTCATCAGCACTTCAGTGCTGCTGCTGTCAGTTGAAGTGGGACATGTCCCAGGGGCTCTCCTCCAAGCATTCTCTCCTAATAGCCTGTTTAAGGAAGCATGAGTTAATTACTGCCTGGAGGTAATTGTGAGGTGAGATTGAGTGCAGTCTTCCAGTTGACCTGTGCTGATCAGCAGCTAGTATTTCCTTGGTCAGCCCCTGCCCACCACTCTGACATCCAGCCTCTGCACTTGCAGCCCTGCAATCCACAGGATCCCATTCTCACCTGGACCTTTTAATGTGACCTTAGAGATGAGTCCCTCACAGCTGCTGCTCATATCTCAGCACAGATGTGTTGCCAGGCCAGTGGTCTGTTTTTGGCACAGCTTGCAGGTGCAGTATCAAGTCCATGCACCCCTATGCAACAGGGAAACAGAGAGAGGTGTGTAGGTAGCTCTAGAGAACATCAATGGATTGCTCAAAGGGCATGGTGACACCTACACTGTAAATTAGATGCTGCAGCCAAAGTCTTAAAGTTGACATCTGAGTGCTGCTTCTTACCTGGTGCTCCCCTTGTCTTGCTCAGGACCAAACGTGCAGCCCTTGCTCAGGTGGCCTGCTCCTCCATGGCAGTGGAGGAGAATTGCTTCACACCCCACTCCGCATCCTCTTTTCCCCTCACTCTCCATCTCCTCTCTCCTGCCCTGGCCTGCTCACCCAGCAGCGAGCCTGGGTTTGTCCCCAACTCACCCACCGGACAGGAATTCACCGAGAGCTGCTGTACGCAGCAGCCGGATTAGCTGTGTGCAGAAAGCTGCCTGCTTCGCTGGTTTAACCTCATTTCCACACCACTGCCTTCCTTCTTCAGCTCAGTGGAGTGAAAACACAGGGGCCCTGCTTCCTATTTCTCTCCACGTACAGGATTACCCAGGGGAGGAGAGGGGCAAACCCCTCGGATTCGTGCCTGTGAATTACCGGGGACACGGTACGGCCTCACGCCTCAGGCCGGGCTGCGGGCGCATGGCCCAACAGCTTTGGCCCCTTCCCCCCCGAGCCCTCCCCTGGGGCTTCTCCCGCCATCCCTCCCC